TTTTGTCACGAAGGAGTGGAGGTTTGTGACACGTCACCTGTGCCTGAAGCTGATTGCCTGGCACCACAAGGGTGATTGGCTCGCGGAGCCGTTGATCAATCTTTTGACCAAACACGGCATCCATACAAAGATAAGTTGTCTCGTTTTTCTACTTTCATTTCATTCAATTGTTTCTTTGCTCATCTGATTTCTGATATCCACATGTTGGCACAGACTCATGACTCCGGCAGCAACAACAATACCTTAGCCGAAGCCATGCAAGTGCGATTGACGAAGCACAGTTCCGATCTTAATGAGGTCTTTGAATGGAATCATGAGAAGCACCAAGTTCGGTGTGTCTGCCACAAGCTGGCACTAATGGTCAACGCTGGACTGCAAGGCCTGGGACTCAAAGCTCCACCACCACCCCTGGTCAAATCAACAATGTTGGGCGGCTTTCCTATACCAACAAACACTCTTCAATCTATCCCCAAGGAAGAAGAGTCGATCAACGGTGAAGAAGCCACCTCCCAGTCTCCCGAGGACGAGGGCCAACTGGATGCAGAGGTTGACGACGCTGATCTCAAGTCATCTGAAGCTCAAGACTCCGAGGATTGGTATGAAGTTAAGGACGGCCCGCATGCTGATCCTGAAGTGACACGTGAGGATGTCAAGATGCAGGCTAGCGATCGTAATGAGGCCAACGCAGTCCACAGTTTGATCAATAAGGTTGGTAATCAATTATCTTATCATATTGACGAATCCTTTCGATTTATATTGACATTTTAAATCAATGTTTGTTCCTAGCTTGATGTGATTGGGCAAAAGATCGGCGGCTCGGCCGTCATGTGTGGGCTATTTGACGCCATGTGTCTATCTATGCTTTCCAAAAAGCTCCCTCGACCAATTCCTGGTTATGGAATCAGATGGAATATCAAACTACAATGCTGGAGACGACTTTATAATGCGTGTGAGGTAAGTGCTTAGTCTGAAGCTCTATCTCTATCTTTCTCTAAAGATTCTTACTATGTTGAAATTTAGGTGATTGATCAAATCCTCAAGGAAGATCAGATGGATCCACCTCGAAAAGGCAACCATCAAGCCCGTCCTGGCGAGGCACCATTACCACCTGATGTGCATCGTCCCCGTGGTATTTTCAACAAAGTGATGATCACTCCAGATGAATGGCGTCAAGTGCGCGATATCATGGAGATACTTCAGGTAAATATTCATGACTTTCTTCTGGGACATGTAGTAGATAATTTGGCATTGACACTAGCAATGTATCATGACGTTATTTCAGGATTTTGAAGATCTCACCAAATTCTTTGAACAAGACGGACCGACAGGATCTTTAGTCATCCGTGAATATGTTCAGCTTAAGAAGAAGATCCAGAAGAAAATCAATGGGACCAAGTCACGGGCCGAACCACTTTTTCCAATGTATCACGCGATGTTAGTGCGTGTTGAAGCCTACCTCAAAGAGGCTCTCGCCTCGGACACACTTATCCTTGCTACAATCATGCATCCAAGTCTGCGCTTAGATTATTTTGACTATGCCTTTGGAACCGGCTCAACTCAAACAACTTACGCCAAAAATCTCATTGAATCAGCTTATGAAAAAACTAAGAGTGAACTTGAAGTCCACGGTCCATACACATCAAAATCATCTTCAAATGCTGCGAAATCAGGACACTCTCTAGGCACGACCGATGAAGATTTCCTTTGGCACAAAGAGCAGCATCGAAAGAACACAGCTAAAGAGCTTCGTTCTTACTTAGAGATGGCAGAAGAGCCCGCCCTGGAGGTGGGAGAGAATCCGCACCTAGCTCTGGCATGGTGGAGTGTGAGTAATTATTTTCCTACTTCTTTGTCATCCAACCAACTGACTGATGTCTTGTCCTTTTGAAGGTGAACGAAGGGAAGTATCCAATCCTCAGCCACCTTGCACGCGACTATCTGGCAATCAGTGGGACGGCATGCGCTGTTGAGAGATCCTTCTCATCGGCGGCCGATGTTTGCACAGCTGATCGCAGCTCCCTCTTGCCTCGGCCAATCGAAAGGCTGGTTTCTGGACGTATGTGGTCGGTAGAAGGCGTAGAGATCAAAGGTAAGTTTCAACAGGCATCAGATGCCATGAAACTTTGTCTTGAGAATGATGGAAAGGCTCGGAAACGACGGGGGTTAATATTATTATCAGTATTGCTCTTTAGTTGTTTTTTTTCTCAACTTTCATCATGATAATAAGGTCTATTTGGTGTATTCTCTCTATTGTCCTGTTATCTGTTTAATCCTCTTTTTTCCTTTTCATTTTACAATGTGAATATCTTCTTGTTTTGTGATATGGTTCAAGATACCGTGAAGGTACTAGTTACGGTACTGTGCCGTACCTGCGCAGACACCCCACTGTACCGTACCGCTTTTTCTCAGGGAGGTACCGGTACTGTACCGTACCTACCCTATGAAAAAGCTACGATACTGGCGTTTAGGTCATAAGGCGAGCGCGCCCGGAAGGCACGGAACCGAGTACTGTGCGTGTAACCATGCACGGTACCCGGTACTGCTTTTCTGCAGTACCTTTTTTCAGCTACTGCACCGGTATCTCAGGTACGGAATCAGTTCCGTAACTGTTGCTGCGTTGCTACAGGAAAGCTTTTCTCAGTTGTGGATCAAATCAATAGTTTTTTTCAAACACGTATGAGAGAGGAAGACATACCTCTGACAGCTGTAAAGACACCTTGGGGTATGTACAAATGGGTAGTAATGCCAATGGGACTCTGCAATGGACCCGCAACGCATCAAGCACGGTGCGAAGAAGCATTAGGAGATTTGATTGGCAAGATTTGTGTAGTTTACATTGATGACATAGTGATCTTTTCAAATTCAGTAGAAGAACATGAGGTGCATTTGAGAGAGGTTCTGAAAAAGTTGCAGGATTCTAATCTTTACTGTTCAGCAAAGAAGAGCAAGTTGTTTAGGCAAAAGATATCCTTCTTAGGTCACGAAATCAGCAAGGATGGTATTCAACCAGACCCAAAACAGGTTGACAAATTAACTTCTTGGAGGACCCCGACATCAGCTAAAAGACTCAATTCATTTTTAGGAACGGTACAATGGTTGTAAAAATTTGTAGATGGGTTAGGTCAATATGTTGCAACACTAGCGCCTTTAACTAGCTCGAAGAAGAAACCTTCAGACTTTCACTGGGGCCCGGCAGAAGACAAGGCATTTGAAAATGTCAAACGGTTAATCACAACCTTGCCAGTGTTGAAAAAGATTGATTATGAATCTAATGACCCACTTTGGCTATTCTCCGATGCAAGCGGCTATGGTCTTGGTGCTGCTTTATTCCAAGGTAAAGAGTGGGAAACCTCATTACCCATTGCTTACGAAAGCCGCACAATGTCACCGGCTGAGCGTGACTATCCTGTTCACCAACAGGAACTCTTGGCAGAAATCAATGCTTTACAAAAATGGAAACTCTTGTTGCTAGGTCTCAAGATAAATGTCATGTCTGACCATCATAGCCTGGTCCACTTGTTGAAGCAGCGGAATCTCAGTCAAAGGCAAGCAAGATGGCTCGAGACCCTCGCCAATTTCGAGTTGGATTTCAAATACTTAAAAGGAGAAAGCAACTCTGTTGCAGATGCCTTATCGCGAAAGGAAGAGATAGCAGCTGTGGAAATTAAGGCAAAATTGGATGATGCAACGGAGGAAATGATTGTGGCAGGGTATAAGTCAGACCCGTTTTGCCTGAAACTATCCCAAACTTTACCACTCCGGAAGGATAGTGTTTGGATCGGCAAATTGATGTATCTTGACGGTCGACTGGTGATCCCGGAAGTTCAAAAACTGCAATGTGATCTAATCTCTAGAGTCCACGATACTCTTGGTCACATGGGACTCCTGAAGACACTTGAACAATTACATAAGGAATTTTTCTGGCCGGGGATGATTAATACAGTAAAAGACTTTGTATCTTCCCGTGACAGTTGTCAACGTAATAAAGCAAGAACTACCCTTATATCAGGAAGACTTCAAGCGACACCAGTACCTCATGCGCCTTTAGGACACATCAGCTTGGATTTTGTAGGACCATTTCCTAAGGTGAACGGGTATGATATGATCTTGTCCTGTACATGTCGCCTTTCCGGTTTTGTTCGGCTCATCCCGGTTTCTCAGAAAGACAATGCGGAGAAGACTGCTCGAAGGATGTTCACTTTGTGCAACGTTGGGCTGGTGCGTTGCTTTGAGGGAGCAACGTACAGCAACGTTGAGCAACGTGCAATACTACGCAAAGCAGCGCAACGCACCGGAATAGGCAGTTGCCCGGTGCGTAGCTCAACGGGCTGTAACATTTGGACCTGTTGTGTTGCGGTTGTGGCTCCGTTGTGAGCAACGCAACCCCGCAATGGGTGCAGCCCCAAGGCCGCCCCCCCCCTGGCCTGGTACATCCAAGATTTTGATTTCCGATCGCACCATCTCCCAATTCGATCAACCAAACCCTTCACAGCTACCCCTTGCCTCAATGCACATCCCGATTAGACCAGATATGGCCTCATTCAGCAAGGTGAAAAGCTATTGGCAGCACAACTTCAGCCCAACTCGATCTCAGATGTTCATTCCAACTTTTACTTCAAAACCTCATCTTTCACACTTTTACTTTCAAACTCCAGATTTGAATGTGTTGATTACTGATAGTTCCAAGTTTGATAGTTCCAAGTCTCGCTGGATTCTCATTATCATTGTTCCATCTTTTGATAAATCACATATTGATCAGATTCGTTTGAAAGTTTTCGTATATAATCGTTTCCATCTCATTCTTGTAGTTCTCAATATTCCGGTCTTCAGTATTGATCAGTCACAAGCTTCTCTTTCGATTCTGAACATCAACCTTCCCGCTTTCCATTGTTATCAAACACATCCCAATCAATACCTATCTTGATTTTCCTCCTGCGCCAGTCATTTCACAATCTTCTATCCACCAATCGTTTCATTCGAAAATCAGTCAACTGTCAATCATGTCCAGCAGTCCAGCTTCCCAACGATCAAGCATGTCGATAGCAGTAGGTTCAACACCTGCTCGTCGCTCAACCAGGCCACCGACACCTTGTAAGAGCCAACCTGGAATGGTCCAGCCCTCCTCTGATAGCCGATTGTCCATCTCTCTCCCCAAAACAAGGAATTCCATCACCACTGCGCGAAAGAAACGAGCATCAAAGCCACCCAAAAGTGAACCAATTGATTCCCCCTCTTCACAGCCACCAGCACCTCGAAGGAAGCGAAAACAGGCAGCTTCGAACTCAAAGAATACACCGGTGAGTTATCTTTGGGTATTGGTATTATCATCATTGAATCTTGCTAATGATGTAATTGATTTACACAACTTATAGGCAAATCATTCGGATGACCCGTCCGAAGGCGAAATGGCTCAAGATTCTGATCATGGCCTAAATGATTGACAAAGAGCTAAGAAAGCTAAAGTATTGGAGAATCAAGGCGAATCTGAAGACGCTGATTACGCTCCTGTCACGGAATACTTTGGGCCACCGGAACACAAACCAGATGAGGTCAGTAGGACTCACTTCCGTCATTGGCCATAAGATTTCTCTCACTGACATGTTTTCTTTCACGGATAAATCGAGCAAGAAATTGTCTTGGCCTTGTTTATGGTGTAAGAAGAAAGTCTGCACCGCCAACATATTTACCTCGGATTTTGTAATCCGAGGTATCCTCGGATGCAAAACCTCGGACAGAAGCTTCCCGAGGGTTTGATCCGAGGTTATTTCCAGGGCAAAAAAATACCTTGGGCAAAAACCTCGGACAAGGTCTGTCCGAGGATTTGCCTCCAATGATGCCTCGGATTTCTCAACCCAAGGCATCTATGCTGGCAGTGCTGTGTGGTTGCAGACTTGTTGAATAACCTCAAAATCCATTGAGATGGGTACAATAAAGGCCGAAATCGATTACCTTATCGAGAACGTCAAAAGGCTATCGATAGTGGAATCAAACTGCCTCCTACTGTATTCAAAACCAAAATTGTTTCCAATGGACAACATCAGATGCCAGACTTTTTCAACAGCAAGCTCCCTTTCAAGAACGAGGTACTTAATCAGATCCTGGCTGTATGGATCCTTGCGGAGGCCTTGCCTTGGAACCGAATTGAGGATTCATTACTTTGGCTGGCTTTTCGGTATGCTTGGCGTGATTCAAAGATTTTTGGTCGTACATGGGTGGCCAGAGAAGCTGCTGGAATGTACGTTTTGTTTCAGGACACTGTCCTGAAAGAAATCAAGGTAAGATAAATACTCCAATTCATTTTCATTATAATTCAATTACTTACTCATGACACAATCAACAGGACAATATTGGCAAATTTACCTTGATCCACGACGGTTGGACAACACACAACAATATCCATGCATTCTGAGGCGCCGCAGTCACTTTCATAGACAACAATTGGAATTACAAGGTTCGCCATCTGACCTTGAAGTTGATTGCGTGGCATCACAAGGGGGTATGGCATGCCCAGCCTTTGGTCCACTTCATGAAGAAACATGAACTCCAATACAAGATAAGTTTTTCATTCAAATTGAATTCAGAATGATATTTCATGTTTATCTTTTTATTTTCGATACCCACATGCTTGCCCAGGTTACAGATTCCGGTTCAAACAATGTCACGATGGCAAATGAAATGCATACTCAACTCTTGTTGCATGAGCAAGAAATACTAGAATCCGACATGGAGGTCACCTCTTCACAATCGAAATCGTGTACTTGGAATCCGAATACCGACTATGCCCGATGCTTCTTACACAAGATCTCTTCCACTGTCAAAGGCGGTCTGGAGGAGCTTGGCCGGACCGCGCCTTCACGTACCCAGGAACGCAAGGATTTCCTGGGTGTATTTCCATTTTCAGGTACTCTGCCAGTTATTGCTGAGGAAGACGAAGAGGATCACACCTTGTCAACCACTATTGTTATAGATGCCAATTTGGACGACGACCCTGCGCCTGAAGAAATCAATACCAATCATGATTCCGAAGCTGAATTTTTTGTCAACGGTGAACCCGACTGTGATGAAGAAACCAAAACTGAGGAGCCCGAAGTTGAAGCCACAGTTGACACTACTTTGGAAAATACAACCTCGAGCAAGTACCACACGACTGCTTCACGGAAGCACGCAAACCGGTTGAATGCATTGATCAGTAAGGTACGCTGCTAATACAAAAAGTATCTTTATTTCATTCTACAACTCAAATAGGTGTATGCTTCTTCCATAGGCCAATTTCATATCTCGTCGAGTGGCTCGTTCAGCGGCATGGAGGAGACATTTCTCGAGGATTGCAAAAAGCATGAATTTGAAGATCCTTCCTTTAACACCTGGTTACAATGCGACTCGGTGGAATGCGGAGTTTGATTCTCTCAACCGGTTGGTCCAAGCGCGTAAAGTAAGTGTTTGTATTTATTTATGTTTCAGTCATCATGATTTACTACATAGAGAGGTTAATGCATTGAACCATCACAGGTTGTCAAAAAACTTCTTGCCGATGACCTTGCACTTCTCAAGTCAAAGAAACGACACAAGGGTAGCACGAAGCCCCGTGGGTACTTTCACGAGATATTTTTCACCCCAGATGACTGGAGTGCGCTGGAGGACTTGACCAATGAGCTATCAGTAAGTGATTATGTTTCTTAATTTTATCACCTAACTAACTAACTAACTAACACTAACACATCCTTTCAATTTATCCAGCCTTTCTTGGAGTTGACCAAACGTATGGAGGGGGACGGACCCACTGGTTGCATTGTGATACCCGAGTTCTATGCACTCAAAGTTCACCTTGCCTTGCAAGCGGACAAACTCTTCATGGGAGATGCTCTGCTTCCCATGATTCGATCAATGCAAGCTCGTGTGGACAAGTATTTTCAAGAGGCTTTGAATTGTGACACGACTGTCATGGCCACAATTCTGAATCCCTTTTTCCGACTACAATTTTTTGAACGTGCGTTTGGTAAGGACCATGAAATCACCAATCAAGCACGCAAGTTACTACAAGATAAATTTGACAATCGCAAGACCGAGCATTCCGCAGCCCCTCACCCTCAGGATGTGCCTCAAGACATTGATAATTCACCAATTAGGAACACCGACAATCTGTTTGAACTATTCAAGTCACAAGATGTTGAGGTGGAGCCAAACGAGATTGATGCTTACCTCAAGGGATCTCATCCGATGTCAGTAAAGGACAATGCACGCCAGACTCATGCCGTCTTGCCATGGTGGAATGTATGTACATGTTTTGTTTTCATTTTCATTTATCGGAACACTGACATTTCCTAACGTTGCAGTTGCACTGTGGGGCTTTCCCAGTCCTTGCCTCATTAGCACAAGACTACCTGAGTTTGTCTGCGAGTTCAGCAATAGTGGAACAAACATTCTCAGCGGCGGCTGATATATGTTCGTCTGACAGAGTCCGTCTTGTACCACGTACCATCAAAAACCTGTGTAGGTTCACGCTTTTGGTGGCGTCAGGGTGTACCCTTAGCACACATGTATAGCGAGGTAAACGAGGCCATACAAGCCTTTGGTGGTAGAAATAGAAAGTCTAAATTGTAGTTTAAACTTAGTGATACATTTCCTTTGCTCATTGTTTGTATCAATCTCTTTCTACTTTTTATTATCAAAGTATAGTTGTCATATGCCCATCCCTTGATTGTTCACTCTTTCCTTATGCCATATGCCTATTCCTTTATGTTCTACTATGCTGAAATGTATGCCCATCAAGTTATTTTCTTTGCTTGCAACGTGAGCAACGCCTGTAGCAACGGTGAGCAACGGCGAGCAACGATGGAAAGCAACGGCGCAAAAGCAAAGGACGCAACGATTGTGTTGCGCGCAACGCAACAGGTGTTGCCTTTGCCCGTTGCGTTGTGGGCGGATGAGTACAAAATTGAATTGTTGCGTTGCGCGCAGCGCAACGCAACGGCCCAACACTGCTTCGTGGCTGTCAATCTTTGGTGCACCATCATCCATGATAGGTGATCGTGATAAAATCTGGGTCTCGCGTTTCTGGAGACATCTAAATGAAAGATTACATGCTCAGGTCAACTTGTCGACATTGTACCACCCTCAAACGGATGGAAGAAGTGAGCGATCTAACAAGACATTAGGTCAGCCTCTACGCCATTTAGCTGCGTCGCGTCACACGAAGTGGTTAGAATCACTGCCAGGAGTGGAGTATGCTATCAACTCATCGGTGAATGTAGCGACGGGGGTCAGTCCATTTCAATTTGTCTTTGCAAGACAACCTAGACTATTCCCAACTCGGCTAGAATCACAAATTCAAGATAGCGATGCTCATTGATGGCTTGAGAAGAGGCGCTCAGATTGGCAGAATTGGAGAGATAAGTTGTGGGCAAGTCGTGTGGAACAGGCGCTGCAGTAGAATAAACGGAGAAGAGGGGGTGAGAATTTAAAGTTGGGGGACTGGGTGCTTATAGACAGTCAAGATCGTCAAAGTATTGTTGGAGGGAAGGGGCGTAGTGTGTCTAAATTGAGAGCACGGTTTGATGGTCCTTATGAAATTAAATCAGTTATGAATGATGGCCGAAATTACGAACTACGACTGAATGAAGAGGACAAGACTTACCCAATCTTTCACATCTCAAAATTGAAGCCGTACAGGAGGGAGGAAGAAGAGGGTTCGTCGTTGGGGACTATTGTCCAAAAGTAAGTTCCTCTCCTAGTATGCACCGCCACTACCCTTCTACACGTTGTAAAAGCAATTCCACGGCCACTTTGTGAGCACATCCTTGGACCGCTTCTTGACAAGTAGGGATTGGCACAATTATGAATTCGACGAATTAGGCTCAAGACGATTTCAATGGTTTTGTCATTTCATTTTGTGGTTTCTTTTTTTTCTGCTTTGTTTCTTTTATCTACTTCTCTTTCTAGGGCGAGTCATGCCAACTTTTTTAGGGGCGAGTCATGCCAATTTTTTTTCATTTTTACCAATCACAAAAACAATTCAAGGTACATCTTAGGAGGAATTATTTTCTTTTTTTTATATATACGGGTCAATTTTTTTTAGAGGGGGAGGGTGTAAGGGTAAACCTTACAGGTAGATCTCAGTTGTTATGGATTATGGGTTTAGACATCAAGAGTGTAGTCATCAAGTTGCCCTGGCTCCTGAGTGAATCTTCTCCTTAGGAGACTCTCCAACTCGGAGCCAGGTAAGCACATTATCCTTTAGTTCTTTCTTATATTCTGCTTTTGTATTGTGTTAGTGTGGTAGCTGATTGGAGGAGACTCTCCAACTCGGAGCCAGTTTGGAAACCAGATAGAGATATTTTATAGGTGACTTCAAGCTTTCGAGCTGTCTCCACAATCCACAGTGAAGGTTCATCTCTTGAACCTTACACAATGATGATGAGTAAGTCGAAAGATGGCTGTCGGATTTGATATTGATACCTTGTCTTTGAGTAGGGTGTAATGCTGAGCATAGGAGGGAATTGAAAGAGACATAGACAATCAAAAGATATACTGCAGGAAATAACCGGTTTCAGGACTAATGCCCGGTTTTAGCAGTCTAACTGCCCAATTGTAGAATTTGACGCCCGGTTTCCCAAATTTGGCTTGGAGGCGCGGGAAAGTACCAATAAAAGCGGGTGTTGGGTATTTTCAAAACCGGGCGCCAAATAGCGCAATCTATACATACAAAATAAATTTTATATTCCACTGTACATTACATGTTTCTACATTCTTTATTTTTGCAGCCTTCGTCCAAAAGGCATACTTCTATATGTAATTGTAAATTCTACATGAGCAGTCCAATCTTTCCCTGATTTGTTGATTCTAGGAAGGATATGAATAAATTGAGGGCAGAAACTTTTGGAAATTATTCTTTACATGCATATCAGTCTATTTGTGCCTAATTTGGGCCCTACATTTCATCACAATTTGCCTCAAGGTCAAAGAACTTCAGAAAATCCAACTTCTGTATATAATCAACAATTACATATACAAATACTACCCATAGACAAAGGCTGTAGGGAACATCAATGTGGCGAAACATAGTGCGGATAATATTATCAAATTTAATGTATATATATATTGACAAAGATTGAAGACATTCAAGATCCAAGTCTTATGTATAGTACAACAATAGTATTTTTTGTTCCGTGATTTTTTTTTCAAACCTCAATAACTCAGTCAATTTACATGACAAAGTTTGATGGACTATATATTCTTGATCTGTGAATACAGGAGCAGGTGTGTACACATTTATGACATCACATGATGTCATCAGAATTTTGCTGGTCGGACAGGCAAATGGCCCCATATGATATAATGTTGAAGTAATTTTGAAATCTTCCTGAATCTTTCAGGAATATTTCATGAAGCCATGGTAATCTCTGGCCTGTCACCCCTTCCTTTATAACCAGCATGCAGATAGGGGGCTATGTGGACAGAATGGTGCTATCAGCTCCTAAATGGATTGGACAAGAAAAAAAAACAAATGAAATATAATATAAAAGCTCACCAATCAAATTGTTGGAGGCTTTTGCCAGGTTGGTGTGTTGTTCAGCCTGCCGTATGGCAGCAGGGGACTGATGCTTGTGTTCATCACTTTTTAGGCAAAGATGATGTGGAGCCTTTGTTGCTTCAAAAGTGAAATGTTTGAGCATATGAGTCTTCTGCTCTGAACATGCCCACCTTTCACATGATGTGTACTCTTCTGGCAAGAGCACTTGAGAGGCGGGAGATTCAGGTATCCATCTTGCAAGCAGTAGGTGAAAGTGCAGGTTGAATTGGTTTGTCAAGATGTGTAGCTGATCAAAAACAAAAGTGAAGAATTAGTCCTGCCGGTCATGGTCAAGAGAGGGATAATTAAGCTAATTAACTCACCTGACGTCCTATCTTGCCAATTTCATTCGTCATCAGCTGTTCCATGGTTCTAATTTTGGATTTGCTGCTATGCCTCCAGAGCCGCCCATTGTGCAGATCGTGTGCCACTTTCTGGGAGTTGACTAAGTGTTCAAAAATTGATGCATGTTTTTCTAACTCATTTGGGCTGAGGGGTTCAATTCAAGAAGCAGGAGGATTTGAAGAGGGTGTATTGGTGGTTTCCTTTTGCTTGTCACATGATAATGGTGTTATACCAAGGGGTGTTTGAGTAAGTGCAAATGCCTTGCTGGTTGCTACACGGAGCCTCTCAAATAGACAAGGAGTAAAACATCTTGCTCCTTGGGATTGTAAGATGACCATGTTTAGCCCACAATGCGGTTGCAAGCTTTGAGACCCTTTGACACTCCCTTGGGTGGCACTGGGATGAAAAGATTACTTTGAATACATTGGTACATTATCTGAAGTTTCAGAATTGGTTTCAATCAACACTTGAAGCGACCCGCCACAAAAAGCGGGAGTGGAGCGGCCGCACGCATTTGCTTCCAAATCTTTGGGGTAGCGGGTTAAAGTGACCCGCCGCCGCTTTCTGTTTGGGGTTGGCCACACAGCGGATTGTGGAATTAGCACGGCAGGATAAAGTTGCGCTCCGCAGCCACTGGTTAGAGCGGGTCGCAGCGGTCATTGATATCAAGATGGACATCACGCCTCATCACACTGACTGCGTTTTCACACCATGGCCGACTCGGACACCTCAAACAGCCTTCAAGGTCAATTCAGAACCCTCCATA